GGGCCTGCTGCGGTTCCTCATCTTCCACTGATGCCCAAACTGGGCGACAAAATACTAGCTTTGACACAGCTTTCAGGAGCTCCATGAAAATGAACAGAAACAGAACTCATTGTTAAAATGAAAACAAAAACAATATAAAAAGCTCCAACTCCGGGGACTAAGGAAACAGAACCACAGAGACTTGAGGATTCCAAAAACAAGAGCTGGCAAACTCCAACACTGTTTTATGGTTTTTAAAATGGGGCAAGAGGTCTGGATGTAACTGACGGCAGGCACACGGCCTGTCCACTGATGGCAAAGAGAGACAGCTCGGGAGAGCATCCCTTAATGAAACCAGTCATCCGGGGGGCGTGAGGGGCACCGTCCCCTTTACAGGCCCTGGTACCACTGCAACCAAAGCAGATGCAAACGTGCTACAGAAAATGAGTGCCCAGAGAAGTGCAGGTCACGTGCAGGTGCAAATGAAGGGAATCGGCAACAGCAGCTTCAGCCAGACCTCACCAGGACCTCACTGAGGCAAAGCCCACGAAGGTCATGACCTCCTGGGGGAATCAATACCAACTGCCCGAAGTCTTTGCAGGTGCTGCCAAACTTTATTCAATGTCTAAAATTAAATTTGACATAACGGAGTTTCCTACTGTTTTGGTGACGTCTCGTAGACAAAATATTGGGCTGAGCAGGTCAAAGAGATGTGCTGTAATGTGGGGGTGCAACTTGCTGCAGGGACAGAACGGGAGGAGACACAGTGTCACCTCACAAGTATATAAAAGTGGAGTCAGGGAAGTCGGCCATCCTCCTGAAACCATGATGCAGTGAGGAGCCTGATGCTATGGATGCTTTTAAAGAAACAACTAACACTGTACCTTGTAATAGTACAACACATGCACACACATGAAAGTCATGCGGGTAACACGTAACATCACCCCACCTACCCACCTAATAGAACGGCAGCTTCATTTATGTTACTGTCTTGTAGTTATATCATTGACATTTTAATCGGATTGTAAACTTGTTCACGACTTTTGATTCTGGTCAGTTGGTAGTGACTGGGTGGGAAAGCAAAGCACAGCACCACGTATGTTACCATCCTCAATATTTAGGAAATGAACATCACACGAACACTTACGGTGGCCAAAAGAGAAAACAAACCTCTTGCATTCTAATTTCCTATGGAGGACCTCTTCGTACCTTTATTTTCATTGAAGCTGCCAGACAGATTCTAGAAAGAAAAGCTTGGGGACATACAGCCTACAGTTTATGAACATCCACAGTGATTCCTTTCTACTGTCACAGGCCATAAGGAAAGAGGGATTTTTTTTAAGTTCTTTCCACTGACTCCCCAAAACCCAGAGAGCTGGCTTAAGGAGTCTGTGTGCTGGGGCACCTGGGTGGCTCAGCTGTTAAACGTCTGCCTTCGGCTCAGGTCATGGTCCCGGGGTCCCGGGATTGAGCCCCACATTGGGTTCCCTGCTCCACGGGAAGCCTGCTTCTCCCTTTTCCCATTCCCCCTGCTTGTGTTCCCTCTCTCGCTGTGTCTCTCTCTGTCAAATAAATAAATAAAATCTTAATAAAAAAAAAAAGAGTCTGTGTGTTGATGCACACACAGCAGCAGCACTCTGAAAAAGGCTTGAGAACTTCCTACTTCCTCTTCCTTCATTCTGCAAGCACGTCCCCAGCTCCCAGTACATGCCTCACAAATTCACTTACTCGGCTCATTTTCATTTGGTAAGATTAAAAGGCTTCATTGTTAGGAAAAAGCAATGCAACAATTTTTTATGAAATGAGAAGAACAAATCAAACAAGAAGACTTCACTGGGCTTGAAACAAAAATCCCCCCTTTGACTTTCCGGCAAAGGAATGCATTTTTTCCAAAGCAACAATGGAAAGAACCACTCTCCTTTGCCTGCACTGTTCCTACTTGACACCAAGTCCTTTCCAGCACACATCACGCTCAGCTAGGACATGAACGCCACAAGGCAGGGGGGCGTGGGGTCCTGTGGTAGGCTAGAAGGTGCCTGTACTCCTCACTTCCGCAGTTCATGTTGGCCGCCCTGGTTTTCCACTAGGCTTCCCTTCACCACGAGTCGAAGGCAAGAGGCATTTCTCAGCAACTTTGGTCCAAAGAAATAAGATCCTCTCCCAGACTGAAACTCCTGACTCACATTTTCCTCCCAAGCATGACTCAGCAGCTTCTTTGGATTTTACTCAAAGAATTTACCTGAACTAACCTCTCCTTTAAAAAACCATCCGCCATTTTCAACTCCAACTTACTTTCCCTTCAGTGTCAGGTAGAAAATACCTTTTGGGAAACTACCCAACACCACCCCCTTCTCTCTGAGTACTGCCCCTGCTCTAGGAGTGGACCCCCAGGCAACTCTGCCCCCCTCCTTGCAGCTTACCCATTTGGTGGGCTGGGGGGGGACTTCTACCCAAGCCCAGCCAATGACCTTTCTCCCTAGCTGAACAGTGGATACTAGCCTTCAGCAGTGGTGCTAGGATGGGGGGCTGGCAGAGTGGTTTTCTCACTGTGTGTGCTAAAGGAGAGAAAGCCAGACTTCAGAGAGAGGCAGAATGACCCAGAAGCAAAGAAGCAAATGAGAGATTGTGGATCATTGAGTAAATGACTTTGGCAGCCAATTATTTCGCTCCCAGTTGAGGCCGCTCCTCAGGCTGTGAATTTCCAGACCTGGTTTCAGGGAGGTATCCCTATGCCCTTCATGTATATTCCCGCCTTTTCTTAAACTAGGTTCCTGATGTTCCCACTTGTTGTGATGAAACAGTTCTAAAGTCAGCCACATGAACGGTACCTTGCAAATCCCTCTCCCATAGTTGAGGAGGCAGCAGTTTCGTGCGATCGGGAGGAACCCAGTGGGAGAGGACAGGAAGGGTCAGGACGCCAAGGGGAGACTCCTGAACATCCGAGCGCACAACTGCATTCAAGAGACAGTCGGCGCCTCCCCTGAGACGGCACTCGAGAGCTGTCAGGCACCAGGAGACCAACACACAGGGAGCTCATGGTCTGGGTCCCCGAGGATCACCGTCACGAAGGGAAGACAGAAATGAGCCAGTGCAACTGAGGATGTGAGGCCCGCATGAGCAGAACGAGACCGTGCTGGGTGGGGGGAGAACACACAGCCGGGACGTACTGCACGAGCCTTAGGAGGCGTGTGTGCTAGGTGGTGCCACAAGAAGACACCTCTACAGATTACCCAATGTAGCAAAGCTGGTCACCCCAACATCAGCCACTAGAGAACTCCTAGGATTGTTTTATTCATCTTCTAATACTCACATAAAATATTTGTCATGTCCATTAGCATCCTGAAAGAACAAAATGGTTTTAGAATAGAATCACCCATTCAGGGGCGCCTGGAGCGTCTGACTTGAGCTCAGGTCATGATCCCAGCATCCTGGGATCGAGTCCTGCGTCCGGCTCTCCGCTCAGTGGGGAGCCTGCTTTTCCTTCTCCCTGTGCCTGCCTCTCTGCCTACTTGTGTTCTCTCACTCTCTGTCAAATAAATAAATAAAATCTTAAAAATCTATATATATATATAATCACCCATTTAAATTAAGAAGTTTCTAGAGGACAGAATCCTTTCAATTCAACTCTGCTTCACAAAAGGTACTTAAACCACACCATCTCAAATAACTGGTAAAAGCAAAATAAAATAATTTTCTAAGTAGTGGGATCTCAGAGAGTACATCTTACAGTGAGTTAGTAAGAACTGCATAGTATCGGGACGCCTGGGTGGCTCCATCAGTTAAGCGTCTACCTTTGGCTCAGGTCATGATCCCGGGGTCCTAGGATCGAGCCTGCATCGGGCTCCCTGCTCAGCGGGGAGTCTGCTTCTCCCTCTCCCCTCTGCCACCTGCCCCCCGCTTGTGCTCTCTCGCTCTCTGTCAAATAAATAAATAAAATTTTTAAAGAAAAAAATTGTATAGTAGTAATTTGAATGGGTGATTATATTCTAAAACCATTTTGTTTTTCAGGATGCTAAAGGACATGACAAATATTTTATATGAAGTATTAGAAGATTTATAAAATAATCTTATATGGGGCACCTGGCTGGCTCAGTCAGTAGAGCACGCGACTCTTGATCTCAGGGTCATGAGTTCAAGCCCCAAGGGTGTAGTGCTTACTTAAAAAAAAAAAATCTTGGGGTGCCTGGGTGGCTCAGTCGTTAAGCGTCTGCCTTAGGCTCAGGTCATGACCCCAGGGTCCAGGGATCAAGCCCCACGTCAGGCTCTCTGCTCGGCAGGAAGCCCGCTTTCTCCCTCTCCCACTCCCCCTGCTTGTGTTCCCTCTCTCGCTGTGTCTCTCTCTGTCAAATAAATAAAATTAAAAAAAAAAAAACCTTGTAATATTTTCTAAAAACAAATAAGTATGAATCACAAGCAAATGTAGTATCCTTAAAATACTAAACCACTATCCCACTTCCAGAGAAATAATCTAGAATATGGAAAAGCCACATATGAAAATATTCTGGAGAGCATAACAGAAAATAAAGAGCAAGCTGAACAGGAGTGCCTGGCTGGCTCAGTCAGCAGAGCACGCGACTCTGGGATCTCAGGAGTCATGAGTTTGAGCACAGAGATTACTTAAAAAAAAAAAAAAAGCAAGCTAAGTAAATATCCACTAATAAAGAGTGTATTGTATTGCTGTTGGAATATTATTTAATGAAACAGAACTTAGCCACTACGAAGAATAAAGATAATGTAATAAAAAGATGGAACATGTTTAATGGGAAAAAAGGATATATAATTCAGTGTATACTCTAACTGTAATAGTACTTTAGAAGAATATATTTTAATACAACTTCATTTATGCATTAAAGTGCCCTAGAGGAAAAAGTGATACTGTTCACACTACAGCGGTAAGATAATGAGTAGTTTATTTTTCTAAGTTTCTTTGGTCAAGATGTTCTATTTGCGTACTTTAAAAAAAAAATCCCCCCCCACCTGCCCCTATTTTGTTAAGTATTAGAGATGAACTGTGAACCTACTTCATCAGAAGCAGAGCGAAGACACTGGACAGCAGCCTGTTTTTTCATTTCTTCCAGAGTCAGATCTGAGCACTTTTTCTTACTCTTTCCCCATTTCTTGTAAGCTCCTTTTTCCCAGCCCAGGAAGATGTCATTCTCCTAAAATAAGATTAGACAGAGTTCAATGAACAAGACTAAGAAGCAAGTTTCAAACACTGTTATTTCCCACATGCTCACACATTCCCCTCCCAAGTACATTCACGTTAGTAAGTTCAGAGGCCACAGAACACGGTCAATCTGAGCACTGTGGAATAATCATTCATTTGGTATCTATTACCCAGATTCTCATTATATTATTTATGCTTTATTTATGATCTGAAGGAATATGGCCCACTGACATTCAGGAAGTGCTAACAAACATCAGACAATTGTATGTAAATCCAAGTACCTCATAAATAAATTCCAGACCACATACACAATTGTCTTCTCTTCTGTGCTTCTCACTCCTCAATAATGAGTGTTTACATTACTATCAGATTTTAACATTTAACAGTTAAATGGTTCAATCCCTACTTCTTTACCTGTAGTCTAAAAAACAATTTTATGTTGGCATTACAAGTTTATTTTTCCCCTTGGTTACGTAGGCCCATAATAAAAATCTGAAGAAAATTTGAAACGTGGGAAGAAAGCAAAATCATCCATGATCCAACCACCCAGTTAAAACCAGAATAATTTGGTCTGCTTCATTTGGTCTTTTCCGTATGCTTTAAAAAATCACAGATTTGAATTCATGCTAGTTATAGAATATTGTATTTGACTTAACTTACTAAATTGTAAGCATCCACAAATTTGGCTATAGAATATTCTAAGATGTAAGTTTATAGCTATTTCACGAAACTGGGACTTTAAAGTAATATTTTTAATTGCTTTGCTACTTTGTTTTGCCTTTTAAAAAGCCCTCCATTTGAAAATAAATAAATAAATAAATAGACTTCCATTTGACAAATTATGATTAAAACCAGTGGACAGGCAGTAAGAAAAAAAAGGATCAGAAAGACAAACAATGGAAAAATTTTAAAAATTACTTAGAAGATGACGTGGCCTATAGCAGACCCTCAGGACATGGTTATAAATACATAAATAAGAGGAGATAAAGAAGGAAAAGTATAATAATAAACACAAAAGATTTTAAAAGACCAAATCATACACCATCAACTGTGTGACCCAATTTTTACTTTGATCCAATACACAAAAATTACTTTTATGCCACCAGATAAGAGTGGGAGAACAGTCCCTCCTTCCACACCCATCATAATTAGCATACTTTTTCTTAATTTCTTAGGCATGTTTGCAGATCTCATGAACCCAAAAAACATATTTTCTGGCTGAGTGGTGTCAATTCCAATTTCCAAGGGAAAATGTGCTTAATGGCCAAGTAAGTACTATCAGTATATTTCCGTTTATCTGACGGATTTGGCTGGACTACACCTGAAACCAGACATTCCTTATCAGTGATATCTTCTGGTGATAGGGTTTGTCCTCGAACAGCAACAGTGGACAGAACCGTAACAACACAGACTCGAAGCTTCCAAAGGAAGAAAGAAATGTTGTAATTCTATTGTTCATAGCATATAAAACAAAGTAGAGAAGTTATCTATGTATTAATGGAAAACAGGACTCCTTTTTGTTTCAGCTGCTGAGACTGGCTCTTTCTCCTTCTTGAGATTATGAACGTGTTTCTCTACTGAAGTTATAGCTCAGCAGAGGTCACCCACATTCAAGGGTCTTAATGAAGTTTTATTATGCAGATGGAAGGGACTTTCAAAATTCAGTTCACATGGACAGGTGCTCTTTCTAGAGGCAGTCTGACAATACATATCACATCTTAAACATGGACGTGTACTTTCAATCTAATAATTCTATTTCTGAGAATTTATCCTAATAATCACCACTCTGCGTACACATTTAGCTACTGTGTGTTGATCATAGTGCTGTCAATCAAGGCAAACATGCAGACACAATTTAAATGCCAAATAAGGAAGACTTGGTTAAATAAGTTATACTTCATCCAGGCGATGAGATATTACAGCCATTAAGGAGATTATGAAGCCTATTTATTGACAAAGAAAGCTATCCACAGTATACACAAGAGAAATAGTCTATAAAACAGTACAATCGCATTTCGTGTGAATGTGTGTGCACATGAACTAAGAGGTCACTGAGGAGCTTATCTCTTGGTGAGTAGGAGAAGGAAACGAATCTTATTTTCTGATTTTTCTTACAATTAGGTCATACTCTTTAATAGTCAAAAGTTGTTGGGGTGCCTGGGTGGCTCAGTCGGTTGGGCATCTGCCTTCGGGTCAGGTCATGATCCCATGGTCCTGGGATCGAGCCCCGCGTCGGGCTCTGCAGGGAGCCCGGTTCTCCCTCTGCCGCTCCCCCCAACTAGGGCTCTCTCCCTCTCTTGACAAGTAAATAAATAAAATCTTTTAAAAAATATAAACAAATAAATAAAATAAAACCTGTTCATCGCCCCCAAATGAAACCCTGTACCATTACCAGTCCCTTCCCATCACTACTTTGCCCTCTCCTGAGTCACTGGGGAACTACTCACCTGCTGTCTCTATGGATCTGCCTATTCTGCAAATTCCATATAAATGGGGCGCCTGGGTGGCTCAGTTGGTTAAGCGACTGCCTTCGGCTCAGGTCATGATCCTGGAGTCCTGGGATTGAGTCCCGCATCGGGCTCCCTGCTCAGCGGGGAGTCTGCTTCTCCCTCTGACCCTCTTCCCTCTCGTGCTCTCTATCTCTCATTCTCTCTCTCTCAAATAAATAAATAAAATCTTTAAAAAAAAAATTCCATATAAATGAAATGATCTGACAGACTTCCTTTTGTGTCTGGCTTCTTACCCTCAGTGCAAGGTTGTGAAGGCTCACCCTTCATACAGGTTGTGGGACGTAATCATGCTCCACTCCCTTTTCTGACTGAGTAATATTCCGCTGCATTTCATCTGTGCGTGCATTCACTATTGGGCATTTGGATCGTTTTACCTGTTGGCTATTACAAACATTCACATACCAGTTTTTGTATGGACGTATATTTTCTCTTCTCCTGATTATACACCTAGGAGTAGAGCTGCTGGGTCACACGGCATCTCTGTGTTCAACCTTTTGAATAACTGTCAGACTATTTTCAAAGCAGCTATATTTCACCATCACACCAGCAATGTCTCAGGGCTCCACCTCCCCCACATCCTGACACTCGTCATCTCCTGGGTTTTTATTTTAGCTATGCCAGCGTGCACGAAGTGGTGTCTTATCATGGTCTTCATCTCCCTAATGAATAACAACATGGAGCATCCTTTCATGTGCTTACTGTCCTTTGTCCAGATAAGATATACCAGCGGCCTATTCAAATACTTGGCCCATTTTTAAATGATATATTCTGAACACACATCTCTCATTAAATACAGGATTTGTGAACATTTTCTCCAATTCTATAGGTTTTTTTCACTTTCTTGATGCTGTCCTTTGAAGTGGAGAAGAAGTTTTTCATTGTGATAAAGTCTCATTTATTGAAGTCTTTGGCTGCTTGTTTTTGGTGTCCCAAAAAATCACTGCCTCAAAAAAAATAAGAAATCACTGCCTCCTCCAAGTCATGAAGATTCATTCCTACATTTTCTTCCAAGAGCTTCATAGTTCAGCTCCTTTCATTCAGGTCTAGAGACCAGCTGGAGTTCACATTTGCATGTGGTATGAAGTAGGAGTCCAACTTCCATTACAGGTGGTTACTCTGTTGTCTCTGCACCTTTCATTGAAAAGACCATTCTTTCCCCCTTGAATGGTCTTGTTAGACCATAAATATACAGGTTCATTCCTGAACACTCAGTTTCATCTTCTATAGTATATGTACACCAGTACCAAGTGGTCTTGATTACCAGAGCCTTGTAGTGAGTTTTGAAATTGAGAGGTGTGAGTCCTCTTTTTTCTTCTTTTCAAGATTTTTTTTTTTCGGCTATTCTGAGTCCCTTTAGAAGTCTATATGGATTTTAGGATCAGCTTGCCAATTTTGGCCCCATGGGCAGCAGGGACTCCGACAGGGCTGCACTGTGTGCGTGTCAGTGTGCAGGGCGCTCCTGTCTTATTGACACAGAGTCTTCTGATTGTGAACACGGGAGGTCGTTCTATTTACGAGGTCTTCTTTCATTTCTCTCAGTGACGTTTTCAGTGTGCAAGTCTTGCACTTCTTTTGTTAGATTTATTCCTAAGTAGTTTATCCTTTTTGATACTGTTGTAAATGGAATTTTCTTTATTTCATTCCTTACTATTTTCCTTTTTTTAAAATAATTTTTATTGTTATGTTAATCACCATACATTACATCATTAGTTTTTGATTCATTCCTTACTATTTTCTATATACAAGATTGTGTCATCTGTGAACCACAGATAGTTGTAGTTCTTCCTCTCCAAGTTGGAGGTCTTTTCTTTTCCTTACCTAGCCACCCTGTTCATGCTGATCTTTAATAAGACACAGTGTCTTTCATCTTTGAAAATGTCTTTTCACACAAACAGATACTGCCAAATACTGATATTAACCCGCAGGCATGAGTTTAATTAAACATGTTAATTGCCTAGAAGACATTTATAAAATTCTGTTAGATTCTTCTCTTAATATTTGCCTTTTCACATGTCATTATAGTGCAGATTAGTCACCCCCAAGTAAAAGTTCGGTAGAAGCTTCTCAGTTGAACAGTTGTGAACAGATGTGAAGATACAGATGATCACTCTACACCGTGTCAAGTGGGAAACCACAGCTGGTACTGCACTGTGACCCTGGACAAATCCCACCACCAAGCTGGGCCGGAGCGGGGAGCTTGCTTCTTGTTTTCACTTTGACAGAATTTTCATTCAACATACAAAGCAGCTTGCCATTACTTGTGAGTCAAACAATGTTAGCTGTTAGGATGGCTTTATAAATTTTGCAGATACATGCTGTTTTGCCTTGTAATTTTAGGTTGACTTCATTCAGAAACATTATCAAGTGTGTAGCAAAAGTTACATAAACAGCGTAGTAGATACACTTTTGTGCATTCTGGTTCTTCCACTCACTGTAGTTGAGAGCTCCCTTTTTTTTCTGGTTTCATGTACTGTGTGAATGT